CAAATCATTTTACAAACGCTGATGTGGGGTGAGCAACAAGTTTGGGGGTTCAATCGGCTTGCTGAATTGCTCTCTGTACAACCGGTATCTATGTATAAAAGGTATATAATAGTATACACACACTCATATATAGTGTGAAGTCTCTGCTCTAGACATATGACAACAAAAGGATGCAGAGGAAGGAAAAGAGATGAAAGCTAACAAAAGGCAGAGGAAAGGCAATATAAGACGGGGGTGGGGGCGACTTCACAGAAATAGAGAATAAAAAACAATATTATTTCGGGTTCGTGCACACGGACGCGTGTTGGTGTAGACTGGCAAAATTCCTGCACCTGGGAGTCACAATCGTTGTGTGCAGTCGTCTGTACAAATCAATGACAGGCTGTACACCGGTATCCTCCCCGTCTGACCGGTCCCCATAATTATAGGGGTGATGTGTGCCCCTGGATGCAGACAGTTTTCTTCCAGGCAGGGCAGCTGATAAGGGGGTACCCCTGGTCCTCCAGTACGGGGCCCAGGCCCAAACAGTTCAGCAGGGGTGTGCCCAAGCAACAGGAAGAATCGGATCATGGGCATGAGGAGTGAACAGATCCCCTGTATGCCTCTCACTGCAGCAGCTGAAAGCCAGTGGGAGGGAGAGGAGAAGCCGGCTTCCAGCTGCTGCAGTGAGAGCTATACAGGGGATTGGTTCCTGTAATTGCCCCCCTTACTGCACTGATCACTCCCTTCTGTCCATGATTGGATTCCCCCTGCCCCTGACACCTGGGCCCCCCACGTATGACCACCCTCCTCTCTTGCTTGCAGCATTGCTGCCTCAATCTCTTCTCCCTCCTGCCAGCATTCAGCTGCTGCAGTGAGAGCTATACAGGGGATCAGTTCCTGTAATTGCCCCCTTGCTGCACTGATCATTCCCTCTTGTCCATGATTGGATTCCCCCCTGCCCCTGACGCCTGGGCCCCCCACGTATGACCACCCTCCTCTCTTGCTTGCAGCATCTCTTCTCCCTCCCGCCAGCTTTCAGCTGCTGCAGTGAGAGCCATACAGGGGATTGGTTCCTGTAATTGCCCCCTTACTGCACTGATCACTCCCTTCTGTCCATGATTGGATTCCCCCTGCCCCTGACGCCTGGGCCCCCCACGTATGACCACCCTCCTCTCTTGCTTGCAGCATTGCTGGCTCAATCTCTTCTCCCTCCTGCCAGCATTCAGCTGCTGCAGTGAGAGCCATACAGGGGATCGGTTCCTGTAATTGCCCCCTTGCTGCACTGATCACTCCCTCCTGTCCATGATTGGATTCCCCCTGCCCCTGACACCTGGGCCCCCCACGTATGACCACCCTCCTTTCTTGCTTGCAGCATCTCTTCTCCCTCCCGCCAGCTTTCAGCTGCTGCAGTGAGAGCCATACAGGGGATCGGTTCCTGTAATTTCCCCCCCGCTGCACTGATCATGATTGGATTTCCCCCTACCCCTGCTGCCTGGGCCCCCCCCTGTATGACCACCCTCCTCTCTTGCTTGCAGCATTGCTGGCTGCATCTCTTCTCCCTCCGCCAGCATTCAGCTGCTGCAGTGAGAGCCATACAGGGGATCGGTTCCTGTAATTGCCCCCTTGCTGCACTGATCACTCCCTCCTGTCCATGATTGGATTCCCCCTGCCCCTGACACCTGGGCCCCCCACGTATGACCACCCTCCTTTCTTGCTTGCAGCATCTCTTCTCCCTCCCGCCAGCTTTCAGCTGCTGCAGTGAGAGCCATACAGGGGATCGGTTCCTGTAATTTCCCCCCCGCTGCACTGATCATGATTGGATTTCCCCCCTACCCCTGCTGCCTGGGCCCCCCCTGTATGACCACCCTCCTCTCTTGCTTGCAGCATTGCTGGCTGCATCTCTTCTCCCTCCGCCAGCATTCAGCTGCTGCAGTGAGAGCCATACAGGGGATCGGTTCCTGTAATTGCCCCCTTGCTGCACTGATCACTCCCTCCTGTCCATGATTGGATTCCCCCTGCCCCTGACGCCTGGGCCCCCCACGTATGACCACCCTCCTTTCTTGCTTGCAGCATCTCTTCTCCCTCCCCTCCCCGCCAGCTTTCAGCTGCTGCAGTGAGAGCCATACAGGGGATCGGTTCCTGTAATTTCCCCCCCGCTGCACTGATCATGATTGGATTTCCCCCTACCCCTGCTGCCTGGGCCCTCCCTGTATGACCACCCTCCTCTCTTGCTTGCAGCATTGCTGGCTGCATCTCTTCTCCCTCCGCCAGCTTTCAGCTGCTGCAGTGAGAGCCATACAGGGGATCGGTTCCTGTAATTGCCCCCTTGCTGCACTGATCATTCCCTCCTGTCCTTTATTGGATTTCCCCTGCCCCTGCAGCCTGCCAGCCCCCCCCCTCCCCCCGTATGACCACCCTCCTCTCCTGCTTGCAGCATTGCTGGCTGCATCTCTTCTCCCTCCCACCAGCTTTCAGCTGCTTCAACAGGGGAACTACAGGGGATCTGTTCTAGTAAATACCCCCCCCCCCACACTGTGCCGATCACCCCTCCTGTAGACAATCTCCTTCCCTCTGCTGCTGGGCCCCTGATGGCTTTTTTCTCCATCACTTCAGCATGGAGAGCGGGCCAAGCATACTGTACTGGGCCCCCTGATTTCTGACAGCAGTCCTGCATCCAGGGGCACACATCCAACCCTGTACGCATGTAACCACGCATGTATACACAGATATCAGGGATGACAGCATACAGCCGCAGCCTGTTGTTGATTTGTACGGGCGGCTGTACGCAACACTTGTAACTCCTGGGAGAAGAAATACGCTGAATTGTGGAGATGTACAACAGCGTGCGTTCATTTGCCCGTAAAGTGTAAAGAACCCAAATACCAAAGTTGAGGAAATAGCCCCTTTTAGCTTTGTAAAGCTAGGCTTGGACCTGCGCTTAAACCCACCAACACTCTGAAGAGTGATCCAGATTTGGATTGCTTTTCAGAGGCCATTGATAGGTGCTGATTAGGCAGTGTGAGACTCCTGGTCTTTTTTGCTTTAGAAGCATGCCACAACCCACATGCTGTGCACCCAAAATGCGGGAATTTGCGGCTTTTCCCCATTCGGTTGCATTTGTCCAACGGTTATTGCATCATTTTTGCTGTGGGTGTTAAGCGAAGCATTATAAACGTGGAATATAAAACACCCCCCATCCGCTGCCATTACAGCTTAAGAGGGGCAACTGGCGGGGGATCGTGAAAAACTCAGCTCAACCCCACATTTTTTACTGCCTCTCAACTGCACCTCTAAATGAGGTATAAATGCAGTTTTTGATTTGGGCTTGCTTTGATCCCTGAAGAGAGATCCACGTTCGCATTGCTCTTTAGGCTCCTTTCACATTCTCCTAGTCCAGAGCGACTTTTGGAGAGTGACTTTCGTGCGACTTTTGGTGCAATTTTGATTGCGCTTTACATTGTATGGATTAAAGTCGCATCAAAAGTTGGACCAAAGTAACGCAGGCACCTTTTCAAAGTCACCGCGGGTCGCCATCGAAGAGAAAAATAATCAATGTCCAAAGTCACATCACAAATCGCACAAGTGTAAAAGGAACCTTACAGAGGATTTGACGGGTGGTGAGGAGTCGCGGGTCGCCCCCCTTACCGCCTGCTTTCAACCCTTGAACCCACACCAGTGAGCCACAACCACATGCACTGCATACCACCAAAAGCCACAGGGGTAGAATTTCTGCCCTAACCGCGAAAGGAGGCATCGTAGCCAGGGGCAGACTGACCATTTGGAAACTCAGGCACTGCCCGAGGGCCTGAGGTCAATAGGGGGCCCCATGAGATGCCCCTGGTACCTTTTTTTCATAGGCTTTTTTGAGTTTGGGCAAGGACACAGGGGCCCCATGATCCCCTATTGCCGGGGGCCCCATGAGTTGTCAGTCCGCCCCTGCTTAAGGCTGACGCGTTTCGAGGAGCAGTCTTCTCTTCCTCAGAGCCAGCTGCTCCTCAAAACGCATCAGTTTGAAGAGGGGTCCTCATGAAGATAATGCACAAGGTAGGTGCGCCCTCTGTTTGCCTTTGTTTTTACAGTTGTTTCTTGCAGATTACCCCCCAACCCTTAGAGGGCAGCAAGGCCAGTGCTGTTTTCTGATACATGAAAGTTTGGAGCATGAAATTGTCCAAAATGTCGCCTTAAGAGTTCCCTTCACTGGAACTAGAGGGCCAAGCCCAACCCCTGAAAAACAACCCCAGCACATTTGTGAGGTCAGGCACTGATGTCGGGGGAGGGGGCCTGGCTCACAGTCTCTGCTGTAATTCATACCAAAGGTGTTCTATGGGGTTGAGGTCAGGACTGTGCAGGTCAGTCAAGTTCCTCCACCCCAAACTGGCTCCGCCATGTCTTTATGGACCTTGCTTTGTGCACTGCTGCGCAGTCATGTTGGAACAGGAAGGGGCCATCCCCAAACTCTTCCCACAAAGTTGGGAGCATGAAGTTGTCCAAAATGTCACCTTAAGAGTTCCCTTCACTGGAACTAGGGGGCCAAACCCAACCCCTGAAAAACAACCCCACACCATAATCCCCCCTCCACCAAACTTTACACTTGACACAATTCAGTCAGGCAAGTACCGTTCTCCTGGTAAACCGCCAAACCCAGACACATCCATCAGATTGCCAGACAGAGAAGCGTGATTGGTCACTCCAGAGAACACGTTTCTTCTGCTCTAGAGTCCAGTGGCGGCATGCTTTACACCACGGCATCCGACGCTTTGCATTGCACTTGGTGATGGAAGGCTTGGATGCAGCTGCTTGGCCATGGAAACCCATTCCATGAAGCTCTCTACGCACTGTTGTTGGGCTCATCTGAAGGCCACACCAAGTTTGGAGTCTTTAGCTATTGACTCTGCAGACAGTTGGTGACTTCTGCGCACTGTGCGCTTCAGCATGCGCTGACCCCGCTCTGTCATGTGACGTGGCCTACCACTTGGTGGCTGAGTGGCTGTTGTTCCCAGTGGCTTCCACTTTGTTATAATCCCACTAACAGTTGAGCGTGGAATATTTAGTAGCCAGAAATGTCACGGATGGACTTATTGCACAGGTGGACCACCTATCACGGGACCATGCTTGGAGTCACTGAGCTCCTGAGAGCGACCCATTCTTTCACCAATGTTTGTAGAAGCAGTCTGCATGCCTTGATTGTATACACCTGTGTCCATGGAGGGGATTGGAGCACCTGAATCACATGATTGGGAGGGGATTGGAACACCTGAATCACATGATTGGGAGGGGATTGGAACACCTGAATCACATGATTGGGAGGGCGGGGCCAATACTTTTGGCAATATAGGCTGGCCATACACTATACAATTTTCTGCCCAATTTCCTTTAGATTTACCTTCAGCTATGTAGTACAAGGTCCTGCCTAATTGGATACAATGGAAAGTGTTGTTTAGGTTTGACCTCATATTATATGGTTCTTGGTAAATCTAAAGAAAATATCTGTATAACTGTATAATGTATGGCCAGCCTTAGTATATGTCACTTTTTTTCCCCCCAGAGTTCCTCTTTAAGAATTTTCATGGGCCGGGGTCAGTAGGGAGCCCCATGAAATGCCCCTGGTACCTTTTTCATAGGCTTTTTTGAGTTTGGGCAAGGACACAGGGGCCCCATGATCCCCTATTGCCCGGGGGCCCCATGAGTTGTCAGTCCGCCCGTGCCTGGAACCCCTCAAAAATTAAATATTGTTTAAGCAGAGGCCCAGTAGAATAAAATGGTGGGTTCTGCACATAGTATAGTCACATAGTATTTGCAAAAAATATGCTATTTTTGGGAAAAAATACACTAGTGAATTTAATGCACAAAAACACAATTTTTTTTGTAAAACAAAAGATATTACGCCGAGTAAATCGATACCAAACATGTCATATTATAAAAACTTGCATACGCCCGTAAAAACGGCGCCAAGCTACGCTACCTAAAAATCTCCATAGGTGACGTTTTAAAAAATCCTTTACAGGTGACCATTTTAGAGTTGCACAGGAGGAGGTGCTAGAATTATTGCTGTCGCACTGACGTTCGTGGCGATACCTCACATGTGTGCTGCGATCGCGATTCACACATGTGAGCACGGTGGGACGGGGGTAGCGCTTTTAGATTTTATATTTTTAAAATTTTATTTGATTTTTTTAAATCACTTTTAGTGCTATCACAAGCACACCTCCCACGTTTCTGAGATGGGAATGAGGGAAGCCTATAAGTAAAAGTATGTTTGTCATAGGACACCCCCCCACCACACCCCTTCCCACATGGAAGAAAAATATATTTGAAATATATTTTAAAAATATTCTTCCCAAATATATTGACATATATATGAAATGCTACAAATTTTGGCCATATTCAATATATTTCAAAATATATTTCAATAAATATTTATATATATATACACACACACAGGTGAAACTCAAAAAGTTAGAATCTGGTGCAAAAGTTGATTTATTTCAGTGCAGCAACTTAAAAGGTGAAACTAATATATGAGACTCATTACATGCAAAGCAAGATAGTTCAAGCCGTGATTTGTCATCATTGTGATGATTATGGCTTACAGCTCATGAAAACCCCAAATCCACAATCTCAGAAAATGAGAATATTGTGAAAAGGTGGAATAATCTCGGCTCAAAGTGTCCCACTCTAATCAGATAATTAAGCCATAACACCTGCAAAGGGTTCCTGAGCTTTTAAATGGTCTCTCAGTCTGGTTCAGTAGGAATCACAATCATGGGAAAGACTGCTGACCTGACACCATCACTGACACCCTCCATAAGGAGGGAAAGCCTCAAAAGGTCATTGCAGAAGAAGTTGGATGTTCCCAAAGTGCTGCATCAAAGCACATTAATAGAAAGTTATGTGGAAGGGAAAAGTGTGGAAGAAAAAGGTGCACAAGCAGCAGGGATGACCGCAGCCTGGAGAGGATTGTCAGGAAAAGGCCATTCAGAAGTGTTGGGGACTTTCACAAGGAATGGACTGAGGCTGGAGTCAGTGCATCAAGAGCCACCACACACAGATGGATCCTGAACATGGGCTTCAAATGTTGTATTCCTCTTGTCAAGCCGCTCCTGAACAACAAACGTCAGAAGTGACTTACCTGGGCTGGAGAAAAACAGACCTGGTCTGTTGCTCAGTGGTCCAAAGTCCTCTTTTCTGATGAGAGCAACTTTTGCATCTCATTTGGAAACCAAGGACCCCGAGTATGGAGGAAGAATGGAGAGGCCCAAGGACCCCGAGTATGGAGGAAGAAATGGATAGGCACAAGGACCCCGAGTATGGAGGAAGAATGGAGAGGCCCAAGGACCCCGAGTATGGAGGAAGAATGGAGAGGCACAAGGACCCCGAGTATGGAGGAAGAATGGAGAGGCACAAGGACCCCGAGTATGGAGGAAGAATGGAGAGGCACAAGGACCCCGAGTATGGAGGAAGAATGGAGAGGCCCAAGAACCCCGAGTATGGAGGAAGAATGGAGAGGCACAAGGACCCCGAGTATGGAGGAAGAATGGAGAGGCCCAAGGACCCCGAGTATGGAGGAAGAAAATGGAGAGGCACAAGGACCCCGAGTATGGAGGAAGAATGGAGAGGCCCAAGGACCCCGAGTATGGAGGAAGAATGGAGAGGCACACACTGCAAGATACTTGAAGTCCAGTGTGAAGTTTCCACAGTCTGTGTTGATTTGGGGAGCCATGTCATCTGCTGGTGTTGGCCCACTGTGCTTCATTAAAGTCCAGGGTCAACGCAGCCGTCTACCAGGAGATTTTGGAGCACTTCATGCTTCCTTCCGCAGACCAGATTTATGGGGATGTTGACTTCATTTTCCAGCAGGACTTGGCTCCGCCCACACTGCCAAAAGTACCAAAACCTGGTTCAATGACCGTGGGATTACTGTGCTTGATTGGCCAGCAAACTCACCTGACCTGAACCCCATAGAGAATCTATGGGGCATTGCCAAGAGAAAGATGAGAGACATGAGACCGAACAATGCAGAAGAGCTGAAGGCCGCTATTGAAGCATCCTGGTCTTCCATAACACCTCAGCAGTGCCACAGGCTGATAGCTTCCATGCCACGCTGCATTGAGGCAGTAATTGCTGCAAAAGGGGCCCAAACCAAGTACTGAGTACATATGCAGCTTCTACTTTTCAGAGGTGCGATATTTGTTCTATGTACAATCCGTGTTTTATTGATTGCATGTAATATTCTCATTTTCTGAGATTGTGGATTTGGGGTTTTCATGAGCTGTAAGCCATAATCATCACAATGATGACAAATCACGGCTTGAACTATCTTGCTTTGCATGGAATGAGTCTATCTCATATATTAGTTTCACCTTTTAAGTTGCAGCACTGAAATAAATCAACTTTTGCACCATATTCTCATTTTTCGAGTTTCACCTGTATATACTGCATGTTGAAATGCGTTTTTATTACAAAATATATGAAAAATATTTAAAAAACATACATTTCAAATATACTACATTTTTGTAATACATTTACAAATATATGTAAAAATATATGTTAAAATGACTTTTTTAGATAACATGAAAAATGTAATAAATATTTAAATTAAAAAAAAAAAACAAAAAAAAAAAAAAAAAAATGACTTTTTTAGATGTAAAAAAAAATCTGAAGAATATATTTTTAAAAAATGTTTTTAAAAATATATATTTTCTAAATATATTCTTCAGATTTTTTTTAACATTTTAAAAAAGTCATTTTAACATATATTTTTACATATATTTGTAAATGCATTCCAATGCATTCAACGCACCCTACAAAAGCACGATACACTGTTGTCACCAGCAGGAAGGGCGCCATGAGAAATCCCAGTCATTGCTACATGAAGACATAAGTGGCTGTAAAGAGGCCACGGGAGATCAGCAGCACTGAGATGCAGCAAAGGATGAAATAAGTTGTACTTAGTTTTTTTTTTTTTAACCACTTCCCATCCAGCCCACGTACATAAATGGCCGGATGGGAGCAGTGCTAAAGCGGGTTGCCGTTTATCAACGGCCCCCACATTCACTGCCTGTGTGTGCTCCCTGGAGAGCGTGGCACCGCGATCCAGTGCCCGCTGTGTCCGGAGGTCTTCCCCATCAATGAAGACCTTAACCACTTGCTGTCTGGTCTATGTAGATAAACGGTTGGAAGGGAGCGCTGCCGATGCGGGTGAACGTTTCCAAACGTCACCCGCATTCATTGCCTGTGCGCGCTCCCTGGGAGAGCGCAACACCGATCGTAGTATGGGACCTCTCTGTGAGGTTCGGATCATGTGATCACTGATTGGCCAATCAGTGATCACTGATTGGCCAATCAGTGATTACATGAACAGTAGTAAACAAATGTCACTTCCTATCATCATTTGCTTA